TGCAAATCCATCCCTTCAATCCTCCACCGTTACTTTTCTTTCTTTTTATTTTTTCCCCTCTAACCGAAATCATTATTGCTAATCTCTGTTTTTTCACAGATGGACCTCGCAACCACAAAACAAAAACGCCGAAATACACAATAAAAAAATGACAATAGTATTTTAAGAAACATTGAAAGTGAATCATACAACAAGAGATTATCTATCAGGAAAAAATAATTAATTTGATTGAACGCTGCAACTCATACAAACAAACACACACACACATATTTACAAATATATATGTTTAATTGTACAGCAGAATGATAAGTAGAACCTTGTTTTGAAGAAGGTAAAGAGAAACGCCAAGAAGATCAAAAGAGGCAGGGGAAATGACACCAAATATAATAATAATAATAATAAAAATGACAGCAGCAAACGACGACGACAACGACAACAAAAAATAGAACGTAAACGGTAGTGATACAAACAAATTCATTTTTAAAGTTTTTACGAAAAGTATTCATAAAAGGAATTTTGTTTAGGTTCATTCATACATCTCACTATATGATGATTGACGCATTTTATAAATACTTTGTGGAAGTTTTTCGCGATCTTTAGTGCTGGTGACAATATTATTGTAATTGAACTTGACATTTTAATAATTCAAGCATGATTATAAAGGTTAATATAGCTATTCAATCTTACTTAGAATCGAATTCTTGAATTAGTCAATTAGTATTTACCGTCGTTATTACAGAAGAATCAGAAATTAAACCAAAACAAACCGATTCGAATTGAATTGGAATCGTTTCCGAGGTTCTCTTAAATGTAATATACCCTCAATTTAGACACCTATTTATTTACAAATAAAGTTATCAAATAGCGATAGAATAAAAGAGACCAGGTATTTCTTGAATCTTTTTTTTTCGAATTCTGTAATTAAATCGGCGTTAATTTTAGATACAAGTTTTAGTTGGGATAAAGCCAATTTCCCTTATACTGTATGAGGAATTAGGCAATTTAATTATTATTGACTTGGATCAATTTCATGCTAAGCCGGATACGCAGCGATTTCGGCTTAGGAACGAGTTCATATCCGGTACGTAAGAATAAAGTAAGTTATTTTTGATAATAAGATATTTCTGTAGTTGCTTCGCCGCATTTTCTTAATATCTTCTCAGCTCGTTATTTAAGTTTTTTGTATTTCGTCGACTATTTTCTTTTTCTTAAGATCAACGAGCAAAATAAAACACGAGATTATTATTTTGACTAGATTTTTTCGAATTAAAATTAATTTTATAAAGATTCAAATTATAATGAGAGGTATACAAAATTTACTTACAGCGCCAGGACACTCTTTGATACTGTGGTTAGCATCTATAATTGCAATTATTAGATAAAAACAAGTATTTCTCTCTTTTTGTAGATGATTAAAATTTAACGAATATCTCGAAAATTTTCTGACATTCCGTTAAATCGGAGCTTGATTATTAAATCAAGATTTACTTACAGTTAAACCTCTATAGATACATCAACACTAATTTGGACCTATAGCTTGGAAATAAGCAGAAGACGCGTTTAGAGAGGGTGTGCGCCGCCTATTTTAAATATTATTTTTCCGAATCATATACAGTGTTTGTTAAACAAGCATTAATATTATATATTCTTGTTGAATGATGCAATATTTATTCTATACGAGGTTTTGTTTTTGCCTTGAATAGATTTTTATCGATCACTCTTCATATATTCGAATCTGGTGGAGTATTACAGTCAAAACTCACGAACCAGCGATTTTATTAATAAAAATTTCGTTATAACAAATTACAGTCAAATGCATATTGTGGGACCACTGTATAATTTTAGAGGAGTTTGCATAAAATACGCATTTAGAGACTAAGCTCCAGCCATATGCAACTATGCATTTAGAGGAGTCTGACTGACTGTACTATGTTCTGTGTGAATCTATAATAAATTCAAGAATTTAAAGTTCTTTATGGTCGTTATGTCCTATATGATTATGACTGTATTAGAAAATCGGTTTAACGAATATACTTCGCTTTGACATTACAAAAATTTTGGGAACTTCACATGCAATTATTTATTCTTGAATGAATGGCTCAAGCATAATAAACATCTTTATCGAAGAATGAACGCAAGCTTGCACATAGCTTTGCGCAAGACTAGAAAACACGCCAAATAAGGCTGTCACTGCCAATGTGAGTACTTGCGTCCGTTGTTGTCTGAGAGAAAACGCCAGAAAAGCTAAACATCATTCCAATGAACACGGAATTTGATAAAGCTTCAATCTAGCGATCAAAAAAACATTGAAATGAACTATATTTTTATGTATGATGTAATTGATAATATAAATTAAAAATTGTAAATACTAATGCATACGCTGTCGAAATAATTTATTTATATCACTGACCGACCTTAAGCTCTTGGTAATATGACAGCGATATATTTTTATTAAGAATTAAATTTTTAAAATGAGTTCGAGATCCAGAACGTAACCAAAGACTAAGGACACTGTCTAGAGGAATTACCTGAGCCACATCTAAAATCGATAAATAAAGAGTTAATTTTGCATACATACATAAAGAGAAAATTTCAATAACTGTACTAATTAAATCTATAGTCTATTGTCGCAACTAATATTGTGTATTTATCATACTACATAATTATAGTGAAAACTGGTTACTACGAACTCTGATTATAACGAAACATTAAAGATTTCGTAATAATGAAGATTCCAAAAACAATTACTCTGAATATAGCGGGATTGTTCACCAGCCTATTTTTATAATAAAACGATTTGAAAATAACGTAATGAATCTTTATCAAATGCGGCGAGGATGAATTGTATTTATGAGATAAACTTGCATGAAAAAAATGTTCTTATTTCTAAAAAAAGATCGAGGACATGGCAAAAAAAAAATTTACACACATGTCTATTTTTATTTATATCTTTACAGCTTAGATAAAAACATTAATTGCATTAATGAATTGTTTAATTGGTCTAACATGCATAGAGGTTTCTTCTTAAAACTGCTGACTGTTACAACGTTGTACACCGTGCGCGCGGAATAATGAGAAAATCACATGTAATTCATTGTATCTCAGTTTGTCATTCTAATTTCCTCATAAAGTAAAATATAAATAAATGACTTAAATGAAATCTGAAAACAAAAATTTTTTTTCAAGAAATTAATGCATGCAACGCATATAATCATGGGCTATTTTTGCTGCGTTTCTCGGTTTTGTCGGTTATTAGATGCATTTATTATTATAAATCATAATCTTTACAAAAAAAGAAATCTATATATATAGTAGAATATAATAATTTACGACAATACTAAATTCCCTATTATTGTGTTACAAATCATTTCTGACAGAATATCGACATGAACAGAACGAATTAAAAATAAAATAGCATACAAGCGAAATATCGACCGAATTCGAAAATACGAAAATAGTAAACGAGAACAGAACGAATTAACAAGAATAAGAATAAAACGAACAGAATAAGCGATATGAACTATTAAATTCCCGATTTATATAACTCTGGATCTTCTTCGATTTTGTCTCCGATTTCGTCTCCGATTTCGTCTCCGTCTCCGCCTTCGTCGTATTGGAAGAGGCAAATGAGGCATTGGAAGAGGAACAACGACTTCCGGAATTACTGTCGAATGAAACGTCGGATGATAACGATCTTGTGGGAATGAAAATTCCAATCCGCCAAAAATATCATGAGGAGGCATTTCTAGATCAATATTGTTTGTAGGCAAAAAAACATTATCCTCAATTCTTTGATAGCTATATTCCATCATGCGTGTCATCTTCTCAGTCCCTTTTCTTATGTTTGTAAGTTTATTTTTTCTTTGTATTTCTTTGTGGAGATAATATCTATCAAGTCAAACTATTTATAAGAACCACCCCTTTCTAAGAACTAAGATTTTCTGGTTCAGAATTCTGGCTATATTTATATTTTATCGATGAACACACTGACCGCGAAAACAGCTACCGTATCCAAATGTTCGCCTCAATTATCGGGTAGAAGGTATTTTTAGAAAACTCCTGATTATTATGATTAGTTGTATAACTTATTCTGTGAAAGAATTCCATGTTAATGAAAGAATTTAATTACTACATGTATCAAGATTGTGTACAAAATTTGAAAAATACTAAAAAAGAATATTTTCGTGGGAATTTTATGCCTCAGGATATAATAAGTCTATAAGAAAAAGAATAAAAAAAATTTTGATTTGTCAATAAATATCGGATATGTTAAAAGCATCATACATATTTCCTCCTAATTATTTTGGGGTTTGTTTAATAATTAGAAAACGGTCTGTCAAACATGCATCAATGAACTGCAATAATTTTTTGATAATAGCAAATTGAATTTTTTTTATTCCTTATCTTTCAATTCACGTATCAGAAGACAAGTATACTATAGATTTCTTATGTGATACAAACAAGACATGTGATAATATAATAGAAATTGAAATGAGAAGATTTCTATTTTCCCAAATACCCACTACCCATAACGATAATTGATTTATTATTCATTAGTTAACTATAAAAGGAAATTCTTTGAAACTCATATTTTGAATCAAAGAATATCCTCACTTTTATGAAAGTTCTATGCATCTAATATTTAAATCATCAAAAAAATCTTTTTGCCTCACATTATTGATTATTAATGGGAAATTTTTTCGATTCCAATTTCGCGGTGAATAAATACAAATGATGGAAAAGATAATGTCTTCAATTTTTTGGGGATGTGCGTGTAACAAAGAGGTTCTTAATCAAACAGATCATCTGTTTTACCAGCTTACCACGAGTGTAAAGTCAAATGATTAAGAAGAAAGAATACGTTTTTTTATTTTTTTCTTCAATCTC